ACAGAGCGAGACTCTGTCTCAAAAAAAAAAGAAAAAAAATACGAGCCAAGCGAGATGTCTCACACCTGTAATCCCAGAACTTTGGGAGGCTCAGGCAGGAGGATCGCTTGAGCCGCAGGAGTTTGAGACCAGCCTAGGCAATATAGTGAAACCCCATCTCTACAAAAAATTAGCTGGGTATGGTAGTGCGTGCCTGTAGTCCCAGCTGCTTGGGAGGCTGAGGTGGGAGGATTGCTTAAGCCCCAGAGGTTGGGGCTGTAGTGAGTCATGATTATGCCACTACACTCCAGCCTGGGTGACAGAGTGAGACCCTGTCTCAAAAATGAAAAGAAAAAAAATTAGCCGGGTGTGGTGGTGCACACCTGTAGTCCCAGCTGTTTGGGAGGCTGAGGCAGGAGGATTGCTTGAGCCCAGCAGTTCGAGGCTACAGTCAGCTATGATTGTGCCATTGCACTTCATTCAGTCTGGGCTGCAAAGCAAGACCTTGCCTCTTAAAAAATAAATGCATAAAATAAATAATAAAATAGGAAAACAAACATTATTCATCATCCTACTACCTAGAGAAACTTCTGTTACATTATTGGTAATTACCTTGACCTTTTTTTGTGTGTAATTCACAAAGCATTTATGTAACACTTTTCTTTTTGTTAAAGTAAACCTGATTTTCATGAAAGTAATTTATTCAAAACAAAGTCTTGTGCCAGCATAGAACTTTCCTTCTCATTGTTCCCTGCATTAACACTAAATACTTATTTGAAGGAGTCTAGCTAGAATAATATACCAATATAGTTAGGTTTTCAGGACATCTGTGGTGAAGCATAACGGAAATTTGCAGACTGGCAGTTCAAGGGAGCAGAGGTGGATATTTTAGTGCTTGAAGGCTTTTGAGGAGAAATCACAGTATAGTAGAGTAGGGCTTACTGGTTGGGACTCATTCTGTTGGCCTAGTCTTGAGACATGTCTGCCTCCTAGTTTTTTCCTCTCTCGGTGGTCCTAACCTAAGTACTGTGTGAATTGCTTTACATGCTTTCATTCTGTGCTCTCCCCAGTCCTGGAAGGCAGATACCATCATCTCCATTTACAGGCAAGGAAACTGAACCCCAGAAATTAAAAGACTTGCACATGTTATTTAATTTACATAATATCTAATGGAAGACTGACCCTAGAGCCTATTAATGATTTTTGCTAACACAAAACAATGCCTTTTTTGGGTGAAATACCATTCACAACATCTGCCTTATTTACCGAACTCTCAAGAATGTCATGAGAATCAGTCACATGAGCTTAAGCATACTATGGAAGTGTCACATGCTGGTGCCTTAGTTTGTTGAGGTGTGAATGGGTAGGGAAGGATAGTAGTACTGGTAGAAAAATATATTTATTTCCCCTGAAAGCCTTGTTCAGGAGACTACCAATAACTTCTATTAATTGTTTTTCTTTTAGTATCTTTTTGAAAATGGAAGGGTAGATGACATTTTCTCCGATCTTTATTATGTTCGGTTCACGGAGTGGCTACATGAAGTTCTGAAGGATGTTCAGCCCCGGGTCACTCCACTTGGTAAGAGTCTCCCTTGTCCTTGGATATCTTTCCCACCTGGATTTAAGAAAGATCAACAGCTTCTGTGGTTGGCTGTGAAAAGCATGTGAGTGAGGGGGATATAAATCCCAGACTGCAGCAGCATTGGCCACTGTGCTACTTGCCCTGATAGGGAAGAGGCACTGCTCACCAGAGAACCTTGCTGGTCCCAGTGTGGGAAGGACACAGGAACAAGCAGAACTAGTGGGATAGTTACTATCTTTTTTTTTTCTATTAAAATGTATTGATTAAAGTTAGAATAACAATTAAGAATTGTGGACAGTTTTATCTGTAGAGCATAATTTTTGCTTTACTCACAGGCGGTCTTCTGGACAGCATATTCTGTTGGAACAAAAGCATAGGTTATTCAGTGTTTTTCTTTGTTTGTTCTTAAAAAAAAAACATGGTCTTGGTATGTTGCTGAGATGGACCTCAAACTCCTGAGCTCAAGCGATCCTCCTGCCTTAGCCTCCTGAGTAGCTGGAGCTATAGGCATGCACTACCATGCTCAGGTATTTTTGTTTTGTTTTGTTTTGTTTTGTCTGATACAGTCTCGCTCTGTAGCCCAGGATGGAGTGCAGTGGCATGATCTTGGCGCACTGCAGCCTCCGCCTCCTGGGTCCTAGTTCAGGCAGTTCTCCTACCTCAGCCTCCCGAGTAGCTGGGATTACAGGCACGTGCCATCATGCCCAGCTAATTTTTGTATTTTTAGTAGAGGCAGGGTTTTGCCATGTTGGCCAGGCTGGTCTCAAACTCCTGACTTTGTGATCTGCCTGCCTCGGCCTCCCAAAGTGCTGGGATTACAGGCGTGAGCCACTGTGCCTGGTCTATTTTTGTTTTTAATAGACTTTTTTGTTTTGAGACGGAGTTTCGCTCTTGTTGCCCAGGCTGGAGTGCAATGGTGCGATCTTGGCTCACTACAGCATCCGCCTCCCAGGTTCAAGTGATTCTCCTATCCCAGCCTCCCAAGTAGCTGGGATTACAGGGGCATACCACCACGCCCAGCTAATTTTTGTATTTTTAGTAGAGATGGGGTTTCATCATATTGGTCAGGGTGGTCTTGAACTCTTGACCTCAGGTGATCCGCCCACGTCGGCCTCTCCCAAGTGCTGGAATTACAGGCATGAGCCACCACCGTCAACTAATAGACTTTTTTTTTTTGAGATGGAGTCTTGCTCTGTCATCTAGGCTGGAGTGCAGTGGCGCAATCTTGGCTCACAGCAAGCTCCACCACCTGAGTTCACGCCATTCTCCTGCCTCAGCCTCCCGAGTAGCTGGGACTACAGGCGCCTGCCACCATGCCAGGCTAATTTTTTAAATTTATTTTTAGTAGAGATGGAGTTTCACCGTGTTAGCCAGGATGGTCTCGATCTCCTGACCTTGTGATCCACCCGCCTTGGCCTCCCAAAGTGCTGGGATTACAGGCGCGAGCCACCGTGCCCGGCCTAGACTTTGTTTTTTAGAGTACTTTTAGGTTTCCAGAAAAATTTAGCAATAAGTATAGAGAATTTCCATATAACTCCTTAAGTGTATACCCTCACACGCAGTTTCTCCTATCAGTAACATGTTGCATTAGTGTGGTACATTTGTTACAATTGATAAACCAATATTGATACATTATTGTTAACTATAGTTCATAGTGCTATGAACTATATTATTGTGTTGTACATTCTGGTTTACATTCTGTATCTGCTGTACATTCCGAGTTTTGATAAATGTATGATGACATGTATCACCATCATGATGTCTTATAGAATGTCTCACTGCCCTAAAAAATACCTCTTCTGGGCTGGACATGGTGGCTCACGCCTGTAATCCCAGCACTTTGGGAGGCAGAGATGGACTGATCACTGAACACTGGGAGTTCAAAACCAGCCTGGCCAACATGGTGAAACACTATCTCTATTAAAAATACAAAAATTAGCTGGGTGTGTTGGCAGGCGCCTGTAATCCCAGCTACACGGGAGGCTGAGATAGGAGAATTGCTTGAACCAGGGATTCAGAGGTTATGGTGAGCCAAGATTGTGCCATTGCACTCCAGCCTGGTGATAGAGGAAGACTCCGTCTCAAAAATAAAAAACAAAAACCTTTTCACCTGTTTATCCCTCCCTCCCCCAGATACACTGGGAACCACTGATGTTTTTACTATTTTCACAGTTTTCCTTTTCTAGAATATCGTACATTTGGAATAATTCGGCATGTGGCCTTTTCAGATTTACTCCTTTCACTTTCCAATATGCCTTTAAGATTCCTGTGTGTCTTTGGCTGGGCGCGGTGGCTCATGCCTGTAGTCCCAGCACTTTGGGAGGCCAAGGCAGGTGGAGCATGAGGTCGGGAGATGGAGACCACCCTGGCTAACATGGTGAAACCCTGTCTCTACTAAAAAATACAACAAATTAGCCAGGCGTGGTGGTGGGTGCCTGTAGTCCCAGCTGCCTGGGAGGCTGAGGCAGGAGAATGGCGTGAACCTGGGAGGCGGAGTTTGCAGTGAGCTGAGATCACACCACTGCACTCCAGCCTGGGTGATAGAGCGAGACTCCAAGACTCTGTCTCAAAAAAAAAAAAAGATTCCTGTGTGTCTTTTTGTGGCTTGATAGATTGTTTCTTTTTCTCACTGAATAATATTCCATTGTATGGATGTACCACAGTTTGTTTACTCATTCACCTATTGAAGGACATCTTATCTTGGTTGCTTCCAAGTTTTAGCAATTATGAATAAAGCTGCTTAAACATTTGTGTACAGGTTTTTGGCAAAGGAATAGACAGATCAATGTTACAGAATAGAAAACCTGGAAGTAGAGACACACAAATATAGTAAGTTTGTCATTGACAAAGGAGAAGGGAAATTCAATGGAGAAAGCAGAGAGAATAATCTTTTCAACAAATGGTGCTGGTGCAGGCTGTGCCCAGTGGCTCATGCCTGTAATCCCAGCACTTTGGGAGGTCGAGGAGGGTGAATCACTTGAGATCAGGAGTTCTCAAGTGATGACTGGTGATGACACCAGCCTGGCCAACATGGTGAAACCCTGTGTTTACTAAAACTACAAAAAATTAGCTGGGTGGCTGGGCGCAGTGGCTCAAGCCTGTAATCCCAGCACTTTGGGAGGCCGAGATGGGTGGATCACGAGGTCAGGAGATCGAGACCATCCTGGCTAACA